ATCATTTCTTTATGTTGGAAACATCCATCCCTACTCCACCCCTGCCCATCCCTGCTCTACCCCTGTCCATCCCTACCTTGGTCCATGGGCCACATCCTAGGAAAGTTGACCTTCTGATACAAAATCTCCTATATTGCAAAACCACCGATGGATCCATAAATCAAAACTGGAATTTTGTAGATAAAAAAATTCAGGATGAATCAGAAGGTTGACTCACGTGCTGCCAGGGTGGGACTGGGGTGACCTCAGGAGGGGCGAGGCCAGCCTGTTTCTAGTTAGCATTGCACAGTCCTGTGAAAATGGATGCAAGCAGGCCTCTAGTGTCCTACCTGGTTAGCGAATGCGCTTTGATGAACTTGTACCTTCCTGGAGTTTACTTTGGGGAAGACAGGAAATAAGCTAGCATCCTGTTAATGATGGCTGTCCTCCCTCCCCAGGATCCCTTCAGTGTGGAGGCAGACAGCCTTGGGCAGGCAGATGGGTTCCAGAGAAGTTCTGTAGTGGCTGCAAAGGGATGCCATTTCTCCAGTCTTACTACAGGACTTATATTTTAAATTTTGTGAGGGAACAGATACAGTGATGCACAACTTTAATCCCTGCACTCAGGAGGCAGAGGTAGGTAGATCTCTGTGAGTCTGAGACCAGCCTCATCTACACAGTAAGTTCCAGAACAGCCAGAACTACATAGTGAGACCCTGTCTCAGAAAACAAACAAACAAAAAACATGTGGGACTGAAGAGATGGCTCAGTGGTTAAGAGGACTTGTCCTTGCAGAGGGTCCAGGTTCTGTTCTCAGCACCCAGAAGTCCATGTTGAATGTTTTCTCGATCACTCTCAACTGTATTTCTTTTTGAGACAGCATCTTTTAGTGGAGCTCACCTATTTGATTACGCTGTTGGCCAGCGAGTTCCAGGGAGGGCCTGTCTCTGTGTCCTCCATGCTGGGACTACAGGTGCATGCTGCCACGTCTGACTCTCTGTGTGTGCTGAGAGTCTGAACTCAGGTCCTCATGCTTGCATGGCCATCACTTTGCTAACGGAGCATACCCTAAGTCACTGTGAACAGCCAGCGACTTGAGAAGTGGCGAGGTACTTGTTGATCCCCCTACATGGGCTCAAGCCCACACAAAAGGCTGAGAACTCTGCCCCGGGGAAAAAGTGGGGGACTGCAGCCCAGAAAGCCGCCCTACCCATGACACATTCAGTCAGACCCTGCCCAAGGTCCTCCCCCCCGTTCTCCCCCTCTCCGGCCTCTGTAGTCACCTTCCCTGATGCCTCCCCCACACTTCATGCTGCTTATTTTTGAAGGGAAGAATTTAACGATCTAAAATTCTAAGAGGATCCTATTCTCACCCGGGGCGTGATAGCCAGGGCTGCCCACTACAAGCTGTTCCCTAGCTTGTTCCTAAGACCCTGCATGAGACATTGTCTCACTGGGACCGGGGCTTGCCAATTAGACTAGGCTAGGTGGCCAGCGACCCCACCTCTCCATCCCTTGCGTTACAAGTTGTGCCATTGTGCTGGGCTCTTCATACCGGTTCTGGGGATCAAGTTCAGGTCTTGGTGCTCATGAGGTCGGGCACTTTATGGAGTCACCTCCTCAGCTCTAACTACTGTCCCTTTTTACAAGTGTCAGAGCTGGTTCTGAAATAGGCTTGCACCCCGATCATGACTGGCATGAGGAAAAGCCTGTTCTCCAGGGACCTCTTGAATCAATGTGGGAGACAGAATAAAGTCACGGAGAATTTGGAGACTTGGATGGGGTTGGGGCCAGCTGATTTTATATATATATATATTTTTTTTTTCATACATGCTTTGAATAGGAGGCATTTCTGACCTGCACGCTGACATTTTTTAAACTTAGTAATAGTGAAGAAATCCCCAGAGACTTTGGCTGCTGGACACTTCATTATGTGAAGCTTCGTGGGGATTTTTGTGGTTTTGGCATACTATGCAATATGCCACATGAAGACTTAATAAGACAGTCAACGCTTTTACGATCTTCGATGACCATTAAATGTCTCTCACTCACACACACAAAAATGCTTTCGCCAGCCAAGGCAGCAACAATGTTCTCATAAATTTGAGTCTAGTCAAATAATGAGGATGGACAAAATCCGGAAGTAGTGCTTAGCATTAACTCTTACTTTCTGGCCCTTCCTTTCCCTGGGGAGTCCCTCAAGGCCCCTCCCACATCCCCACCCCTAACTCCCCTCGTTCTCCTACTACAGCAGCAGCCTCACCTGTGTGAGCCCTTGGCAGTTCTCACTGAGGGATCCCCTACCCTCCCATCAGAGCTTTTGGAACACAGCCTTAACCCCTACCCCTAGCAACTTTATTGCATTGCTCTGTCAAGGTCTTTACCTGTCTGGGGGTTTCCTCGGAGTGCAATCTAGGCCCTTTCCCAAGGCACACTAGTCTGCCTGCAATAGCTGTGTTGCTTACAACCTCACCAAACTTGCCAAGTGTCCTGTGTCACCCACTTCTGAGTGCTGAGCTATCCCTGGTTTCCCACTGTTCAGAGGCCCCCTTTCTAGGTCCCCAACCCTCCTCCACCACCACCAAACTCTGAGTTTGCTGTCTTACCCACTTCTCCTTTGCCTTCTCTTCTGATACATGCCTGGCAGTATTTTTCCCCCCAGTTGTGGTGAAATACGTAACATGAAACTTGTGATGCTAGCCCTGTAAGGTGACGGTGGTGGTGCTAAGTGTGGCTATCGCAGCCATCGCAGCCATCCATCTCCGGAGGGTTCTTATCTGAATCCACTGTGCAGGCTTCATTCCCTTCTCCCCCAGACCCTGGCCAACCTTGTCCCTCTCTCTGGTTTTATGAATTTGACCACTTTAGAAGCCTCCTATCGATGGAGTCAGACAGGGCTTGCCGCTTTGTGTCTGGCTTCTGTCACTTAGCACACGGTGTCCTCAAGGCTCATCACTACCAGCAGACATCAGAACTCGGTTCCTTTTCAGCCTGGATGATACCCTATACTACACACCATATTTGACTTATTTGCTGGGTTGTTTCTACTTGGTTTTCACCAATGAAGGTGTCATGAATATGGGAGCATGAGGACCACTTCAAGCCTCTGCTTCCGCCCATTTGGATTATCGTGGAATTGCTGGGTCATTTGGTAACTAGCTCTGTTTTTGACCCTGTTTTGCAGAGTGGCTGCACCATTTCACATGCTTTGCCAGCAGTGCACAAGGGTCCGTGTGTGGTCACCAATACTTCTTATTTTCTGACTTTCTGATGCTAGCCATCCTGCAGGGCGTTAGCTGCTATCTCGGTCTGGTTCTGATTTGGTGAAGCAATACTGTGGTTGCCTTTTTTAGCAACCTGGGAGTAGCGGTGGGTAGAAGAACGTCACCTGCACGAAGAGGGCCCTCTTATGCTCACTAGCCAGATGACTGGGAGATTAAAGTGGCAGCAGATCTTGGTGCAGGTGTTTTTCAATAGGCAGGCATCACCCACACTGCCCTTCAGAGGATGGCTTCTCAGAGCCAAGCACCGGCCTTCAGTGGCTGAACCGAACACAGGGACAGTCTCTACACTTCTTTCCTGGTATTATCATTCACGTTCAGATGACCTTTAAACTATTCTTGAATAGATAATTGGTCCTTGTCTGGGTCAAAGTTGTCTATTTCCTGCACCACCCATGAGTGTTAGTAGCGGTAGTAATATTTTGATTTGCTTAGAGGGTTACACGGCATGTGGACCAGGCTGTCCTCTAACTGGTAATCCTTCTGCCTCAGCTCCTTGAGTGCTGAGAGTATAGATGAGCTGCCATACACACCTTCACATAATACTCGATCCCATAAAACGTGGCCTTGGTCCCCTCTTTTTTCTGAGTCAGACCTCAGGGACCGATGAGAGAGCCCCCTTTGCTGAAAGTCTGGGTATGGGTCTTGTACAGACCCCGGGATTGAGAACAAGCAGCGATGGGGTTAGGCCAGCTGAGGCCTCGGTGGGAGGAGAAAGGACAGTAGAGAAGGCAGAGTCGCTGCCCCAGAACTACTGTTCAGTCCATGGCTTCCCTTTTCCTCTCCAGGGAACTCTGCCCCCCACCAACTCAAGACTGTACCTCTAAAACATCATAAATAGGAATTGAACTGATTCCATTAGTGTTTGTGAAAACCCCACAGAGCGAGAATGGTGATGTCAGTGATTTCCATCGGCCAGAATGAGGCAGAAATACAAGGAATCTGGAAAAGATCCCCCAACCCCTCAAGGCCTTGGAAAGCTGACAACGTTGATTGTTTAGTGTGGACCAAATTAAAAACAGAGGCATGGAAACAGCTGCCAAGCCTGGCAAGGTCCAAGCCACAGGAACCATGGCGTCCAAAGGCCATGCTGGGATGACTGGAGCCCTTCAAGAAAGGTTTCCGGGTGCAGCCTAGCTCCCCAATCTGTAATACGAGAGGACCCCGAATCCCCTTGTTTTCTGAGTCTGTGATTCTTCACTTAATCCTAACCAAAAGGCCAAGAAGCATTAAGGGTCTATGATTCTGGAGAGCTGCCCAGGTGTGGTCAGGCAGCAAGTCCTTCAATGCTGGGATCATTCAAAAGTGAAGGATTAGGGGGTCAAGACCCAGGAACCAGAGCCAAGACCAGAGCCAAGGCTGGCGGCAACATGGACTTCTGCCGACCAGAACTCTGGGTTTTGACTGTGGACCCAGGACTGCAGTACTGACCCACTATCCTCAGCCCTCTGCTGGCAGCACAGAGGAGGAGGAATGGATGGTCCTTCCCCATCCTGGGCGGAGCTGCTCTGTTGCAGGTGCCACAGTCCACCTGGCTCCCATCTCAGTCTCAGTAGCTCCCTCTATCAGTCAAGCAGCGGAACACTCCCCAAGGACCATGTCCTATTTTCTTATTCCCTGGCCCTCCTTCCTCCCTTCCACTGGGGTATGGAGAAAGGACAGGACAAAGGCAAGGTTGGGGGACAGATGGTGGAAGCAGGAGGCCAGGATGGTGGTGACCAGTGGGCATGCTCGTTGCAGGAAACAGCAGCAGCCTTCAGACCGACCTCTGTCAGAAGCATCTGCTGGACCTGCCCCCCAGTAAGTGCCATAGCACCGTGCCAGATACCCAAAAGGAGGCAAGCAACATGTGGGGCCTGATGGTGATTGCTCAGTTGCTGGCCGGCATTGGGACAGTGCCCATTCAGCCATTTGGGATCTCCTACGTGGATGACTTTGCGGAGCCCACCAACTCACCTCTGTATATCTGTGAGTCTTCAGCTGTAAGAGGGCTGTGGCGGGTAGGGATTCAGGGCTGGAAGTGGCACCCTCCAACACTCTTGGCCCGCAACATGGTGGATGATAAAGATCTGTTGTGCATGCCAGCAGTTTCCTTCCATTTGTATGAGCCTTGAGTGGCTAGCCCCGATCTTCAGGCTCTCACCTGGAGGACAGAGCCAAGATTCTTTGTGTGTACGATGTGCTTTGGGATTATGGGAGCTGATGTGGTCACCGTTTAGCCCTGTTTTGAACCTCTGACATCATAACATGACAGTGTTCTACTAAGTTCACACTGGAGAACCACGCAATTGAGTTCTTGAGATGCGACGACAACAACAAAACACATGATGTTTTAAATAAGTTTAAAATCTGTATCAGGCCACACTCATAACTATCCAGCAGACCATGTGGCCTTTGGGCCATGGGTTAGACACTCCGTTAATCCTCCAGGCTCACAATGGGTGAAACGCCATTCCTCTGCTCTGTGGACAGGTTGCCCTGTGTGAAGCAGGTAGCTGATGGCCAACTGGTGCCTGATCCCTTCCCTTAGAAAAAGCCACAGGGGCCCCATGTTACAAATTGCATCTCTGACTCCACCTTCACCCGCCAGAGCCAACAGCACTGTGTACACAGACAGCTTTACCCAACAACACACCCTGGACTGGCATTTTTAAGATACGGTGGAAGCAGGTTCATTCCAGGCCAGGAGATATCGCTGGCAGGTGCTAGAGGGGCGGCAGGCCAGGTTCTGCCAGCCTTGGCATCTGGCCCTTATCTGCAGGAGATGGAGTAGGCATGGGCTGCAGGAAGTGTCATAGGCATGGGCTCGTTATTCCCAAGGGACAGTAGGTGATAGCTCAGTTTGGGAGACTAGGGTTGCTGAACATTCTCAATGCCCCTCAACCCCTTATCCCTTGCTTCAATTTCTAGCCATCTTATTTGCCATTGCTGTGTTTGGACCAGCTTTTGGGTACCTGCTGGGCTCAGTCATGCTGAGGATCTTTGTGGACTACGGCAGAGTAGACACTGGTGGGTATGCGGATGACACTCCTCAGTCTTAGCACCATCACCCCCCCCCCTTTTACCTGGTGTTTAGTTTAGTTTTGTTTTTGAGACAGGGTTTCACTGTGTTATCTTTGGAATCTGTCCTGGAACTCGCTCTGTAGACCAGGTTGGCCTCAAACTCACAGAGATCCTCCTGCCTCTGCCACTCAAGTGCTGGGATCAAAGGTGTGCGCCACCACCACCCCATTCTTGTCACCCTTTTCCTGGCGCTTCTGATTTAGCTCCTTCCTCTTGGCCGCCTAGAGAGACCAGCAATGGATCCATGTGGGACAATCCAGTCACTGAATGACTGGAAATCATTCTGCCACTTTCTTCAATAAAAGAAAGATTCTGGGTCCATGTTTAATGTCAAGTAACATAATGCTGGTTTCTAGGTAGAGAGTGGGCATATTCTCAGAGTAACATTTGGCCTGTTTTGGAGGCCAGGCAACCTACCGTGTTGATGGCTATATTCTCAAGAAACGAAGAATTATGGGCCTGCCTTTCTTAGAGATCCTCAGAAGTAGCATGCAATAGAGCTCAATGATTAAGAGTACAGGTTGGAGTACCAGGAAGACAGGTCTTGACTAATGGACCAAAGATTTGGTTTCCTGATTGGTTAGAGGGAGTCAGATGTGTGTAACTCTTACTGCACAGACATGCTAGAGGAGACAGTAGATGATGGAGGTAAAATGTGTAGTGCGTGAACCATGTCAGCCTTCTGGAGAACAGATCACCATTATCCTTGCCAACAGCTAGGGAAGGAACACAGCGAGAAGATGGGTAGGGGCTGGAAATTTTCTAGTGTCTAGATGTCTGTGCAGTGGCCCGGGTGCTCTGGGAAGACCAGAAAGGCCTGAAGAGGGAATGCTGTGACCAGGGTCTTGTATCATGGGGTGTCTTGCCACCATTATAGGAGGAAAGTCAGTGAAATACCATTTGAACTGAATTTCCCTTTCTAGTCAGGAAAGAATGCATGCATTCCACCACCAGACACTTTCATCCATTGGTTTCTTTTCAGCTACAGTGAACTTGAGCCCCGGTGACCCTCGATGGATCGGAGCCTGGTGGCTGGGCCTGCTCATTTCTTCAGGCTTCTTGGTTGTTACTTCTCTGCCTTTTTTTTTCTTCCCTCGAGCAATGCCCAGAGGAGCAGAGGTAAGTTTCCCAGAGCCCACAACTCTGTGGTTGTAGATGCTTAAGCAAGCAAAGGACATGGGTTAGGAAATAAACATCTGGGAAGCTGCAGATGCTCCAGCAAACTGAGGGAAAGGATGACAAGTCTCAGGACCCAGGGCTCTTCAGAGACTGAGAGGAAGTACCCTCGGTGTTCTTTTACCACACTGTTATCGCAAAGACCAGTGTGGTTCCGGGGAGCCTAGTTTGGAAACCCCTGGGTTCTCCTAACCTTGGATAAAGATTAATGAAACAATAGAATGAACAGTGGAAGGAGGGGATAAGGATATAACTCAGTACATGAAGTGATTACCATGCAGACGTGAGGACAAGAGCTTGCTCCCCGCAGCCTCACAAGCATGGTGGTGTATAATTGCAATCCCGTTGCTGGGGAAGCAGAGAAATGGAGAGATTCCCTGGGGAACTCCAGGCCACTTAAAGGCCTTCTCTTAAAAAACAAAATCAAGGTGGATGGTGCCTGAAGGATGACACCCAAGGATGTTTTCTGGCTGACACGCATGCGCGCACGAGCACACACACACGTACACACACACATACACACACAGAGGTATACACACACACACAGACACAGACACACACAGGTACACACACACACACAGAGGTATACACACAGGTATACACACACACACAGACACAGACACACACAGGTACACACACACACAGAGGTATACACACAGGTATACACACACACAGACACACACACATATACACACACACACAGAGGTATACACACAGGTATACACACACACACAGACACACACACATATACACACACACACAGAGGTATACACACAGGTATACACACACACACATACACACACAGAGGTATACACACACACACAGACACAGACACACACAGGTACACACACACACACAGAGGTATACACACAGGTATACACACACACACAGACACAGACACACACAGGTACACACACACACAGAGGTATACACACAGGTATACACACACACACAGACACAGACACACACAGGTACACACACACACAGAGGTATACACACAGGTATACACACACACAGACACACACACATATACACACACACACAGAGGTATACACACACACACAGACACACACAGGTACACACACACAGAGAGGTATACACACAGGTATACACACACACACAGACACACACACATATATACACACACACACAGAGGTATACACACACACAGACACAGACACACACAGGTACACACACACACAGAGGTATACACACAGGTACACACACACACACAGACACACACACATATATACACACACAGAGGTATACACACACATACACACACACATACACACACACACACACACACATGAAACCTCAGCAGGTGCTGATGCACAGTTGACCTCTACATTTAATAGAGCTTCCTATGGTTTGAGCCTGAGGCGTGGAGGTAGGGTGCAAGGATGGGCTGAGTGCAGTATGTTTTGGTGGGGCTGAATCTGCTGGGGAAAGGAACTAGGAAGTTAAGAATGGGAAGCAACAAAGAGGAGGCTGAGTAGGGCCTTTATATGGGGCTGAAATGTTTAATGTTTTCTCCTGTGAGTTCCAAACACTGTGGTGACTGAGCACTCCCCCAGCACCTAGTGACAATATGGCAGTTGGCTGAGGTTGGGGATCATGAAGGAATGGAAGCTGGAGATCTGAGAGGCTCAAGAGAAAGGTAGAAAATACAGCTGAGGGCCAGGGAAATGGCTGTCAGAGAGATGGGGCAAAGGACAGGCTGGTTGTTCCTGGAGGGGTGAGGCAAAGGTTTGACTGTGAATTGGGTTAGAACTCAGGCTTTGTGTCTGGAATTTGAGACAGAAATGGGCCCCACTGTGGGAAAGGGGGCATGGGTAGAGGCCCAGAGCTTATCCCAGGGAAGCATTTAAAAGGTTATGAAATATTTTGATGGCCTGAGTTGGACAGATCTAGTTGAATGATCTTAGACAGGTTGTTTTGTTTCTAAGCTTCCTCTCTTGTAAAGTTCGTGGGGGTAATTAGAGAATCTGCCTGGGAAGGAAGTTGTGAGCAAGGAGGCAGTGCATGGGGAACGATGGGCAAGTTGCCCAGAGGAGAGCAGGTGCTCAGTTAACGGAAGCACAAAGGATGCTAATGGCAGAGCCCAGGCCTATGTCTATGCACTGGCTCAGAGAGACTGTTCAGAAGGTACAGTAACAGTTAGGACAGAGCCTGGAGCAGGACTCGCCTTTGGGCGAGGAGAAAGCACAGACCCTAGAGGACACAGAAAGGGAGAGCCGAAAAGAGCAGACATTGGAGACCCTTTTTATCCTAGAAGCCAGCCAGCCCTGGGATCTGCATGTGGGACACAGTGTAGTCACATCATATAGACAAGGGGTAGGATCCAAGATGATGCTTTTGGCATCAGTCATGGGAAAGTCAGATGAAATAACATGCCCATAGGTACTGTGGGAGGCATTAGCATGGATTAACTCTGATCTCCAGCCAAGGCACCAGGCTCATTAAAACACAGGTGGTGTTTGCTTCAAGAGTGCATCCTCAAGATGCCTTCCCATATGTACATGTGATCCTTGAGCCACTGAGTCTAGAGAGTCAAGGGCTCAGGGATGGAACATTAATGTCACCATGTTTGCTGCTTTCAGAGGTCTGTTATCGCAGACGAAACAATGAACATGGAGGAGGACAAGCCAAGAAGCTCCCTGATGGATTTCATTAAACGTAACTGACTTCCCCAGCAGCCTTGGGTGGGCTGGATCTGGGTGCTAGGAGGCCAGGTTCAGGGTAAAGGGTGACAAGAAACAACAGCCTCTGTGACTGCCTCGCCTCCCAGACGCCCCCTCAGTGCAGAGGGCTTCTGCCAATGATCTGGTGGCTGCTTCTTTACAGGTACCAGTAGCCCCTAATTCAGGCAGAGCCAGTCACCACCCAGCCCAAGCCTCCACTTGCACTCTCTGCCCTTCACTTTCTGCAGAGGTGGGAGGAGACCTTTCCCAGTGTGAGCTCTGTTTCTAGCTACCCATCCTCTTAGTCAGACCACAAGGTGGTGAGTGGGAACCCAAGGACCACACACCCCTGAGATGACTGGAGTCTGGGGATCTCTAATTCTGCCCTGAGAAAGAGAGGAATCTAGTCCAGGGGATGAGTCAGCTAGGAAGCCTGTGATGCTCTTCCTAAGGCCTGTCCCCTGACAGCCATCTACCTGCAGGATTACCCCGCATCTTCCTGAAGCTGCTGATGAACCCACTCTTCATTCTGGTGGTCCTGGCTGAGTGTACCTTCTCCTCTGTCATCGCTGGCCTCTCTACATTCCTCAACAAGTTCCTGGAGAAGCAGTATGGCGCCTCAGCAGCCTATGCCAACTTCCTCATCGGTGTGTCAGAGGGTGCTGCTGCAGGGCCTGAGTGGTGCTCCCCTGGGGAGGAGCTGGGTGCTGTGCAGTCCATACAGGGATAACCAGGGGCCAGACCGGATACAGACAGGAGACAGGAGGGCTTGCCCAAGAAAGAATTTTAAGGACATTTTTCCTGCTTGGCAATCCACAATGTTTTTGGCAACTTTCAGGGGCTCCTATTCTTCTCTTTAGGAGTGGGTGGAGTCTGGGGGCTGCCTTCCTTCCCATCAAGAGGGTGGGGATCTGATAACCTCCCAACTGACCTTATCAGGGACAACAGAGGAGAGAGGGAACATGGAGCTTGAGACATACAAAACGCCTCTTAAGGGGTTTCCTTCTCCAGGAACTTGAGTCTCAACCCTGTAACACGTCAGGTTCCTTTACACAATGACAGTGCAGATGCCCCCATCTGCCCCACCTGGATTAATGGATCCAGAACCTATTAGGTGGTGCTCCTCCATCTTGCAGTAGATGTTAAGGACCACCGATGGGGGGTTCCACCACAGGTACACTTAGCCAAACACATAGATTTGACAAGACAATCAGGGCATGAGATGTGACGATGACTCCCTGCACTCGTTGAGCTCCGGTGTAAGCTTTAGATGGGACACCATTTCTCTCCCCTTCAGTCTCGAACCAGGGGTTACCACTTGAGAATCTACTTCCTCATTCTTACTGTCTTTGTCTTGTTTTCAATTTTGTTTCTTTGAGGCAAGGCCTAGAGTAGACCAGGCTAATCCGGAACTTGCTAGGTAGGTGAGGATGACGTTGAATTCCTGGTCATCCTGCCTCTGCTTCCCAAGTGCTGGGATTATAAGTGTCGAAAGTTGACTGCTTCTTCCTTCTTTGATTGGGCAAGCCAACCCTCTAGTGAAGGAAATTCCCGGTACCCAGCCAACACTCAATAGTTAGTAATACTTGGTAGTCAGCCACTACTACTGCAATTTAGTATACCCAGTGTTCCTTCATGAAGCTCCTCACTGGTGGTACAGCTCAAGGCTCCCAGGCTGTGCATCCAGCCCCTCTCCTTCTCACACAGGTGCTGTAAACCTTCCTGCTGCTGCCTTGGGGATGCTGTTTGGAGGAATCCTCATGAAACGTTTCGTTTTCTCTTTGCAAACCATCCCCCGAGTGGCTGCTGCCATCATGACCATCTCCATACTCCTCTGCACCCCTCTCTTCTTTATGGGATGCTCCACCCCAGCTGTGGCTGAGGTCTACCCCCCCAGGTAATGAACTAAAGAATGCAGAGATACCCTTGTAACCACAGCCTGAATTCACCCACTGTGTGTCTTTCTTTTCTGCCTCTCTTAGCTCCTCTGTCCTATTCTCTTGAATCTTATCCCTCACGTGCTAACACATAAAACCAGGTCTCAAATAGTGTGTTCCATTAGGGGACCAGCTGGGTGGTCAGGGTTAGGGTTCTGTTTTGTAAGGAGCATCAGAAACTAATCAGTTTGGTTTCCGAGTGAGCCTGAACCCTAGAAACCAGGAAATAAGCTCTGGTTAGTGCTAGCTCTGGGCCAGCTAGAGTTAGAGCCTTGCTGAGCTGTGGAAGAAAGATGAGAGAAGACTTGAAAAGATTTCGAGGTGAGCAATGAAAGTGGATCAGGGGGAGGCGAAGGGCAGGCCAAAATGTCAGTCTGATTGTATAAAGCAGCGTGAAATATGTTTAGAGTCGAACTTTGTCTTCAGAAAGAGCATTGCAACCCTGTGAGCAAGGAACATGCCCATCCCCCACCCGGCTCCCCATATCCCCAGCTCCAGTAACCTTTTCTTTAGGACTTAGCCTAAGGAGCTTGCAAGATTTGGAGACTCGGAACCTTTTAGCCCCTGTTTGTTCTCTTTCTCATAAAGAGCAACATCTCCAAATATAGCCACAGCATCCGGCAAAAAATAGCTTGAGATGACCTCTGTATTTGATAGGTGAGGGAGGGGGAGGGGCAACAAAGGAAGGGAATGTTGCTTAGCACGGGGAATTCATCACTCTTCTGCAGGCTGACTGTGGACCCAGAGAAGCCTGAAAGGTTTTTGGGCCTTCCTTTGGGTGGTTTTCACTGGGAGTTTGGTCCCAGCTCTATCATCCGCTTGGCCTGAGTTCTAGGTATGTTGTTCTTTGTTGCCATGGAGACATCATCTACTTTGGCTATAGTTTTCTTATCTGCATAAGAAGTATAATTGGTTCTAGGCTTACTGCGCTGACTGTCCACGAAGAGCTGCTTCCATTGTGATATCCCATAAATGCCAATGGCCACTGGTATTGTTTCATTAATGCACTGAGAAGCTGTGATTTGTCAGTCCCTGTCACAACATCCCCAAAGAAGATCAGTAAGAGTCACTGAAACCCACTTTGATGACGCGCTGGCTGGGATGGGCAGGGGAGTAGGGAGACCCAATCAGTAAGTCCATATTGATTCAGGAGATGAGCAGTCAATGAGCACTCCAGATGCTTCCAAAGATCCCATCCATTGCCTTTAGCCAGAACCTAGCTGGAAGATGAGAAAAGGCAAGTATGGCCAATGGTGTTACTGTGGCATCAGCCATTTCTTTCAACAGAGTGTCAATCAGTTGGTCATTTTGACTGATGGAGGCATTGGGGTTTGTTGGCTAGACCTTTCCAACTGAGTTTTTGGTGAATTTGGGCTCCACGTGTCAGGCTAAATGGAAAGAGTCATGATTTCCAAAACAGTGGCAGATTCACAGCTGGCTCCCATGAGCTCAGTTCAGATCCTTGGGCGGCACTGGCCCAAAACAAACAGAGACATGCAGGCACATCAACCAGATCAGGAACCCGTGCTGGGCTGGAGTATAGTGCTTTCTTGGCCTTGCTTTGTTTGATTCCTTGCTTCCTGTTTCGCTGGCAGCACATCAAGTTCTATACATCCGCAGCCTCCCGCCTGCCGCAGGGATTGCTTGTGCCCAGATTCCATCTTCCACCCAGTCTGCGGAAACAATGGAGTCGAGTACCTCTCCCCTTGCCATGCCGGCTGCAGCAGCATCAACATGAGCTCAGCAGCTTCCACTCAACCAGTAAGGATGAGGGTCACAGGGGCAGACAGAGCTTCGGGGATCAAGGTGTAACCTCAAAAACTGTTCCTTGGCTCTGGTACTCAATATCAGCATCCTAGCCTCCTCTGCCCTCTTTCTACCTTCCATGCCCCAGGGTCATGACCAGATGCCTGCAGCCCAGCATCAATTAGATATTGGCCCATGACCAACAAGTTCATTCATGGGGACTTGGCAAAACAACAGAAACAAGTCAAAGTATTTGCCTTCAGTGGCGACTTGTAACTGATACTGATGGCTCCCTGGGGGCACTTCTGGGCTTTGGGTTCAGGCCATGTTGCAGGGGTCACATGGGCTGGGAGCAGAAGGACCCCGTGCCATGGACCTGAAAGTTCAGTGCTGGGAGGAGTGGTCAAGTGCCTTTGCTACAACCCCTCAGCTCCCAGGGGCCGGAAGCCACGAAACTATTTAAGACAAATCTGGGATTAGGAGTCAAAGCTTTGCCTCACCTGGTGTTCAAGACCACATGTCTCCTTTCTTGGGTAACATACAGGGCCTCATGCATCAGTCTGTGAGGACAGTGGCCCCATCAGTCTGTGAGGACAGTGTCCCTGGGCCTTCTGGGTCCAGCCAACAGCAAATGACTCCTCCAGTCATTTATTAGTCAACAGAGCACACTGAGTGTAGCCACCATGCTGAGGATGCGGTGGTGAGCCTATGACCCAACGCCCATTCTCACGGTTACATTCAGTCCAATAAAGGCATAAGATAAATGCTGGGGTGAAAGGGGGAGGCACTTAACAGCACAGTGTGTCTGGGGGTCTTTCTGAGATGACTTAACAGCAGAGGAATCCTATGGAAACCTGAAGCCCTTTGCAGGTAAGCGAGGCCCGGTGGAGGTTGAGAGAGGAGTGTCAGTCACAGCTAACAGGGCCAGGCAGGCCCAGGGCCGGGCAGGGCTGGGCAAGCCAGGCTTACGAGGTGGATGATCTTCCCCCGGTGAGAGCAATGGGAAGTCTACCGTAGGATGCACCAATAGGAAGAATGCACTTGTGTGGAGGCCATGGGCCAGGCTAGCTCCCACTTACCACCTCTTCTGAGGAGACAGGACAGGGCTGCTTCCCCAGCTGCCTCTCTGGGCAAAGGCAAATGGCTCTCAGACAGTGAAAGGTGAGGAGCTGAGACAAGATGGGCCCTTAATTTACCTTCTAACTGGAAGAGTAGTGGCTTCAGTGGTTTTCTTATCTTTATTTACTTACCTCTGACTCATCTACTTCCAGAAATAATCTTGACAAGCTTCCAATAACAGCACAAGCACATCAAGATAAAATCCATTACTATGATATCAAGGAAAAAATAATAAATTATAAGGGGAAAAAGTCTTGGTAGTTTAAGATCCAGACCGAGGGAGGTAACAGCAATATTGTGTATTATAAACTTCTGAGCTTGAGAGCCAAGGTGGAGTAGGAGGAGCATGGGCTGTCTGACCGAGGGCAGAATCCCAGCCCAGTAGGTTACATAGCTCTATGACGGCAACATCATCACAGGCTGGGCCATCAGCCACTGTAAGGCAGAAGGTAAAGATGACCAGAGAGCAGTGGCCACCAAATGAGTTGTACAATGGTATTGAGCCATACAGAATTCTAAGGCAGGGGCCTCCTCTGGAGTTCCCTCTTAGGCTAGAGGAAGCCTCCTCTGTGAGAAATGCTACCCCGGGGGTTCAAATAACTCCGTTGTTGTTTCCTGGGATGCCTGAGTATATCTTTTCCTATAACAACATGCACAACCAACACAGCTGGCTGGGCCCAGAGAAGAGCTCTCCCAGGCTCCAGACTCCTAGCTGAGGGTAGGATCTTGGGCATCTGGATGTGGGGGAGCCTGCAAGAGTATAGCCTGTGCTGGACTCTTGGTGAAGATCATTTCTCACATTCAAGCAGGGAGAGAGGTGGTACCCCATGGAGTACTCTAGAACCCTCATCTGGCCTGGGGACTGGGGGGGGGGGGCAAAGGGTTCATGCTGGTGGAGAGTCTGTGGCAAGAGCCTGTGTGGCTGTGTGAGGCATGTGGAGGTGAAATCATGACATGCCCCCTCCTGTTCTCCCTCAAGAGCTACTTGAACTGCAGCTGTGTGACTGGAGGATCTGCGTCAGCAAAGACAGGCTCGTGCCCTGTGTCCTGTGCACACTTCCTGCTGCCGTCCATCTTCCTCATCTCCTTTGTGGCGCTCATCGCCTGCGTCTCCCACAACCCTCTCTACATGATGGTTCTCCGGTGAGTGGTGCCTCCCAGTCTCTGGCTGCTGCTTCTCCACCCTCCCTTTGATGCTACATCCTGTCTCCCACTTACAGTGCCTCCTCCCTCTCCTGGCCTGGGGGGGGGGATTGCGGGGGAGGTTGGGGTGTCAACAGCAACCTTCAATGGTGACAAGGCAACAGAGTACACCAAAGGCAGGTGTTCCTAGTTCCAGGAGGAGCTCCTTAGTAAGATGGCCTCCCTCAGGGCCCCAGCACCCGTGAGGCACAGGCCCTGCTGGCCATTCTATTCATGGGAAATTAAGTCAGAGCCCAGGATGGCAGAACTGTCAAAAGGCTGAGTCTCAGGTTAAGATAGGCTATGCATACAGATTCACTTGCTTTTCAGTCTTAAAAGAACCAAGGAGAAAGAGGAGAAATCAGCTAGATGTGCGAATAGCGAGTTAGACACCGAGGAAAGTTCCAGAAGCGAAAGCTGTGGGAAAGGCTGAAAATGAGGAAATCACAGTAGTCTATAGACCTAGTGCTCAGGTTGGAAGAGACACGCTGACCAGGGACAAGGGAGGTATCTAGTTGCAGCCGACAAGCGAGCGTTTCTAAGGCTTTTATAGTGAGTGTTTCTCCTTTGCCTCATTGCACCAAGGAGGGGGGAAAAGAAAGGAAACATAACAGCCAGGTTCACCTGACCACCTCCTGCCTGCCTCCTTGTACTCCTGGTCACTGTCCCCATCTGCTTACTTGGGAAGCCGGACTGGAAACTCTCTGTCAGATTCAAAGTCTCTGCGTCATACTACCTGAGTGTCCTTGGATGTTGCCTGACCTCATGAGCCTCAGTTTCCTTGATGAGGGAAGAACAATTGTGATCCCCACCTCCAAGTGTTAATGCCATCAGTGTTACAAGGTCAATGGCTTTGTAAACAGAAGGTGCTCTGCTGGGTGTGGCATGTCTCCCATAAACTGGGCTGAAAGCCAGAGGATCAGGAGTTCAAGGTCATCCTTGCCTATGCAGCAAGTTAGAGGCCAGCCCAAGCGACATGAGAACCTACCCCAGTGGTTCTCAACCTGTGGATTGTGACCCCTTTTAGAGTTGAATGATCTTTTCACTGGGTTCACTTGAGACCATGAAAAAATTCAGATATTTATATTATGATTCCTAATGGTAGCAAAATAACAGTTACGGAGTAGCAATGAAAATAATTGTATGGTTGCAGGTCACCACAACATAAGGAATTGTATTAAAGGGTCACAGCATTAGGAAGGTTGAGAACCACTATCATACCTCAAAAAGGAGGTGGGGGAGTTGGTGTTCTCCATATTCTTTTAGACCTATTTCCTCCAGAAGGTTAAGAGATGAGGGAGGACCAGATGCTATGCCAAGAATGTAATTTAGTGACAGAGCACTTGCTCGGTGTGTGCGAAAGCAGCTGCTAATATTTTACCCTATCCAAGCCAGTTAGTTCTCTGTCAAGTTAGCCCACAGGCTGCCAAGCTCCTGTCACTCTATTTCAATGACACTGGCAGATGATAAGGCATTCTTGTGTTAAAAACAAAAGGTATCGTTACAGCAAAAACAGCCTTTCTCCTGGAGCTGTAGTGATTATCCTTGTCCTCCCGATCCCTCCGAGATGATACACAGATCTAAATGTGTGCGTTGTATGCAGCAGGCTTATGTTCCAGCATAGGAACACTGAGCTTGAGAGGGCCGCTGCTTATATCACGCTCCAGCTCATGTCTCAAGGCTGCTCCCTGCAACACAGCCCAGGGAAATGACTGCAGCAAGCAGTCAGGACTACATGGTCTCAGTAAGGATGGGTATTAATGCTTGGAGCTGGCGGCACGATGCCACCCCCAAATCCTGTCACCTTCTTCCTTACTGCTCCCTGCCCTGTGTACCCCAAGGACTGACCCTGTCACCCAAGGCACTTCAGTAGGCTTCCCTTCTTCTCTGCTGGGTTAGGTAGATCCTGGTCTACCCTCTGACCATGACATAAACCTGCATGAGGTTCTGAAGAGGAGAGAGCAGGGTAAGGGATTCTGATAGGAAATTCAGTCCCCATCACACACCTCCCTGAGTGGTGAAGATCAGCATCATTTCAACCCTCCCAAGACTGGTCGGTCTACAGTAGAATTAGAGAGGGGGCTCCAGGATCCCAAAGGGGTTGAAAGATACTTCCACTGGGGGAAAGATGGCACCTGGGGTACCTCAGTGGGATTCCCTTCTTGCACAGGCACTAGCTTCTGCTAACTTAAAGGTAACTTGGCAAATGCCCCAATTGTTAGTTATTAGTCCTGATCCAAACCAGGCCTGAGATTACAGCCTGGGAGCAGAGGTCAGCTGACAATGAGAAAGAGTGGTCAGAAAGCCAGGATTAACTCAGGGATAGGTGGGGAATGCCCAGAAGGGGCCTAGGCGCTCGGTCAATAATCAAACTAGGTTGTCCAAGTTGAAACACAAAGGAATCAGTCTGTCCAGGTGAAGGACAAAGACAAGGGGGCGATATATTAATTATTATTCCTGTCGCTGGGACATAATGCCTGACAAAAGCAACTTTGGCTCACAGTCCAAGGGGAGGCATGATGGCGAGAGCAGTCTTAGATGTTGGGTAGGTCAGGAGACCCCTGGTCACATAGTCAAGAGCAGAAAGATGAACACTGATACGAAGTTTGCCTTTCTCTTTCCATTCAGCTCAGGACCCCACACTATTAAAAGGTACCGAGAGCATCCAGGGCAGGCCTTCCAAATTTAATCAAACCTTTCTGGATACATCCCATCAAGGGGTCTGTGTCCCAGCTGATTCCAGGTCCATAAATTGGCCATGAAGATTAGGCATCCATTTATAGATTAGGCCATTGTAGATACAGAGGGAAGGAACATCCACTCAATCAGGATGCCAGGCACTGTACACTAGGAGATCCCAGATGGTGCCTCTTTCTCCTACTTGTAACCCAAAGAGCATCCCTTCACTGCATCATCTCTCTGAGGATGCCTGTCATTTGCTGGCCAACTTTGGCAACAGTTGTATAAAACTGCGAAGTGATTTGGAGGTTTCTGTGGAGTCCTCATCCTCACTGTCCTCTCAGCTCTGAATTCTTTTCCAAATGGCACTCACCTACGCAGGAGTATGTGTGCTGAGAGCCTGGCAAGGGCAGAGTTTGGTCACACAGCAGGCACATCCACTGGTGCCCTGGACTCCGCACCCTGTGTGTGAGATGCTCCTCCTTCTTCCTACTCTCCGCCTGAGGTGAGAGCTCTCAAGGGAGAACTGAACCTCTTTACCTGGCCTGGCCTTCTTCCTCTTGAAAGAGAAAGGGTGGAAGGCAGGACCATGGGCAAAATCAACAGGACTTAGTGCAAACGAAAATGTAACACTATTGACTTAAATTATTAAGAATCTCAAGCCATACATAAGCAAACCTGGGCCTTTCTGAGAGTGGCACCCTATGCAGCTGCTCAAGTCACAGCTCATAAAGCTGGCCCAGGGCAAGGAAATCTTTTTCAGAACTGCACAGAAGCTGAGATCCCAGTGCCTTCTTTTCCTGGGTATTGTTCAGACCTGCTGCCTAAGCGTGCAGCCAGGAATTCCTGTCTACTCCCTGTCTCTCTTGCCTGCTTTCTCTCCAAGCAGTCTCTGGAAAGCCCTGAAAACAATACAGGCCATTGGTTCTCGAACTCAAGTTTGCATCCAGCTCTCCTGGTACATTGCGTGTCTTGAATGAATGTCGGGCTGAGAATCTGTAGTCTGAACACGTTAGCCTAGGTGATGCGGCTGCTGCAGCCACAGTGCTTTCAGGTGTGTAATAGGAAGCTTTAGCCGAGTGAATCTCACCACCAAATGCCTGATCAGACTGCAGGAGGACTGGCTCCGACCCGTTCTGAGTCTGTTTCCCCACACCCCATTCCCTCCAGGTGAAGCTGCAGCCCAGAGTCCTTCCTGTGCTGATTTCCTGTTTTCCTTTTCAGTGTGGTGAACCAGGATGAGAAGTCATTCGCCATTGGAATACAGTTCTTGTTGATGCGCTTGCTGGGTAGGTAACTAAGAGCTTTCCTTCTGGAGTAGAGGCCCTGAACCACCGGCATCGAAAGACTATGGGGAACAGGGCAGGGTTGTCTGCATAGGGAGTGGTGTATAACCGGCAGGGATGGTTCGCCTAATTGCTTGAGATCAGGAAAGATTTCATCTATGGCATTCAAGCCAAACCAAGTTATGTAAGGAAAAGGCGCGGGGGGGGGGGGGGTCCACAGCTGAGAATGCTGAATACAGAGTTTGAAGCGGGTATTTTTAAACTTTCTCCAAGAATCCACCCTAGGACACAAAACCTTGCATTCCTGCCCCAGACAGAGCAGGTTCTGTGCTGAGCCTTGGCGCTCTTCCCATTTTCCGGACTTCACTCATCTGCCATGGTTCAGCAAATGTCTATTCTGTCAGGGGATCCTCTGGACCCTGCCTGTCTTCAAGTAGCCTGGCGTTCCCCGTCGCAACACTCAAGCCGTGTGTGCGCGCGCGCGCGCACACACACACACGATCAGCAGAGACCCACAGGGAGGGAGAACCCCCTTGGGAGCAGCAGGCATCTGGCTTTTCCTGAGTACAGGGACTGTGGGGTGAGGGGACACATTGCAAATGCTGTCCCAGCCTTCCTACTCTGCACTGCCCTTTGACACCCTTGACGCCTGCATGCATTAGACTGAACACAAGGCACTAATATGGAGGTCTTGCTATATGTTGGGTAAACAGAAGGAAAAAGACTAAATTCAATAGAGGATCTTTGTACTAAAAAGTGTGCGTAGCAGGGTGGTGGTGGTGGTGGTGGTGGTGGAGATTCCAGCAAGAAGGACTTAGTTACTATCAATGTGCACCTTCCTGACTTAACACTGCCTTAACACTATTTGGAGCCTGCTGTGCATTATTAAGCAGGGGTACAAGTTACATTCACTATCCTTCCAGCATGTTCCATCATCCCTCCTGAGACCAGCTGGGCAGGAGCCTATGCAGGGTCTCAGCCAGCATTTCAATGGAGTTTCTTGGCCTCAAGGCACTTTTCTTGTGATGAAATAAGTCCCTTTAAGTTCCAAAGGACCTCTATGAACACTCTAAATGATGACTGTCCCCTTCCTGGGCCACACAGGGGACACAGGGCATCTTGTTTGGGCAAAGACTGGGTTGTCAGCACAGCTCCTTGTGTCCATTTATGATTTACCATCCTCGGCTCATTTGTAACTTCTTCAAATGCCCTGTCTGGGAAAGAGACCTGGCATTCCTTCCAAATGACCTCCTTCCCTGATTCTGTGTGTGCCCTAGAGAATGGCCTCTCTGTCCCCGCTGCTCCAAGCACGTGCTGCTTTTGCTTTTCCACCTGAGTGCAGATAATTCTGCAGTTAGAAAACTCAGGCCTGGAGGCATTCCACTCACTGCTCCACACTGCGATAGATGAAAAGATGGCCTGTTTATAGTCTCCAGCACGTTTACAGCCACCCACTGAGATGCAGCTGACAACTCTCCTTGACTTCTACTGAGGGATGTGTTGCCAGAGTCAGTTTCCAGCCATTGTTCACCTGGAAACTAGACACTGAGGCTGAGAAGCTGCTTCTGAAAGTTTCTCACTTATGGGTGGGACCACCGGGCCTCTTTCTTCCAGAAACAACAACTCACTCACGGGGTATAGATAGTCAGGTGTTTCTGAATATGGGATGGCCCAACCCAGTGTCAGTCCTGGCCAAGTCTATCCTGACCCACTGGCTGCCCAGAACTTAGATAACAACACAGGGCATGGTGGGGTTGGGTAGTGGGCATCTAGAATATTCAGCACCCAGTAAAGCATCATGCCTGCTGGACTATGTAGACATTACCACTCAGGTTCTGGGATGTTTGGCAGCCTAGGTTCTAAGCAGCTGGGGTATTAAGGGTCTCCCAGGGGCGTTGTCTAACCCAGAGGGGCAGTTTGGAGCGGGAGAAGAACACAGGATTTGAACTTCAGTGAGATATGGTTCCGTGCATCCTTGAGCCCTCTTGCTCATTTGCTCTTCGCTGTAATGGAGCCACCTGGAGGTCATATGAGAGCTTGGGGACATTAGTACTGTCCAGATGGAGTCTCTACGTGGAGCCAGCCTTGAGCACAAGAACTGAACAGTGTGGTCTGGGCCAGCTGACATCAGGTTGAGCCTGTGATTCGTTCTACCCTGAAAGGATTCCCATTTGTCTCCCAAGCTTTCTGGTGAAAGGGGAGTCAAGCTTCATCAACAGTTTCTGCTCTCCCAAGTCACTGTGATTCTGAGGACAAGGTAGTAGAGATATCCACCCTGCCCACACCTCTTGCACTGACCACGCCCTTTGGGTGTGACCTGGGGGGGGGACTAAGTGGGGGGGGGCTTGGGACCCCAGCTCGCAACAGGTGCGGGCAGGGTGGATATCTCACTACAGGGCGAGGTAGAGTTAGCCTCAGATGTTTGACTGTACTGTTGTTGTGGGGGACCCGGGCATCTCTGACTGCAGCTCCATGTGACCCAGATGCTCTGAATTCTCTTTCCCATTGTTGCCAGCCTGGCTGCCAGCTCCAACCCTGTATGGTCTCATCATCGACTCCTCCTGTATCCGGTGGAACTACCTATGCTCAGGGAGACGAGGGGCCTGTTCATATTATGACAACGACGCTCTCCGAAACGGGTGAGGGCTCCTACACACACAGGTGCCTAAGAGATCAGGCCTGTGGTCCCAGCAGACCAAAAACAAAACAAACAGAAAACCAGACAGCTATTTGACCCATAGCTATGGTGGGGGCTTCTAAGGGACAAGGAGTGATGTCTCTGCAAACTCTGCCACCGTGGCAGGAATTTGGAAATGTGTAAGGAGCAGTCAGGTAAGGAGACAGGGGATCTGCCTGGAGGCTGAGAGAGATTATGAATGTGAGAGGATAGCATAGCATCTCCGGCACTCAGAGCGAGGGGAACCATAGCACGGCACCCAGCAGAGGTCCCAGGAAAGGGCTCCACTTGCTATGCCATTGAGCCAAATCCAGCCGTCTCTCCTGTTGCTGCCATTCCATCATCCAGAAAAGGTGGAGAAGGTGGGCTTGACGGGGCTGTGCAGGGGCTAGAAATGCTGAGGGCTGGCAGAGAAGGCCAGCAGGGGGCAGCAGAAAGATACAGACCCTCCGGACAGGCCTGGGGCCCTCACCTGGTACCACTGCAGAGCCGGGGAAGCACTAGTGGTGTGTGGAGGACGTCCAAAGTGACCCCACCTTGGGAGGTGACAGCCTGTTAGCTGAGTGATGGCCTCCACAGCTCACTGTGAAAACAGTGGCCATCTTCTTGCTGTCCCTGGCCGGGGGACATGGGCTGAGGAACCCTTCCCCCTCACCATTCCTGTCTCTTCCTGCCTCATAGGTACCTGGGACTGCAGGTGGGCTACAAGGTCCTGGGGACGCTGCTGCTCTTTTTCATCGGCTGGAGAGTCAAGAAGAATAGGGAGTATAGCCTGCAAGAGAACGCCTCGGGCCTCATCTGACCCCCAGCCAGGCTACTGCCCTGTCTCAGGGACTGGGTCCCACCCCTCCACACCTGCCTGTTAACTAATGTCCACACGCCTTTTCCTCCCTCCCTCCTCCCTCCTCCCTCCCTCCCTCCCTCCCTGCATCCCTCCATCCCTCCCTCCCTCCCTTCCTGCATCCCTCCCTCCCTCCCTCCCTGCATCCCTCCCTCCCTCCCTCCTCCCTCCCTCCATCCCTCCATCCCTCCCTCCATCCCTCCATCCCTCCCTCCCTCCCTCCCTTTCTGCATCCCTCCCTCCCTCCCTCTCTCCCTCCCTCCCTCCCTCCATCCCTCCCTGCATCCCTCCCTCCCTCCCTCCCTCCCTTCCTGCATCCCTCCCTCCCTTCCTGCATCCCTTCCTGCATCCCTCCCTTCCTGCATCCCTCCCTCCCTCCCTCCCTTCCTGCATCCCTCCCTCCCTCCCTCCCTCCATCCCTCCCTTCCTGCATCCCTCCCTCCCTCCCTTCCTCCCTCCCTCCCTTCACTCTTTTTTTTTTTTTAAGTAAGAAAGTTCCATTCACCCTTTGTCTCACCTGCCTCCTCCGGAAGTCTGCCCCATGGTTCTTGAGGCCTGACGTGTACTGAACTGCATGAGCACTGAGCTGGAAGTTCCAGTTTCCCAAACTCCTTGCAAGGGGTCCCCCACACAGGCAGGCTGTCCTCCAACAAGATGCCCACGAAGCAGCCCCTGCCCTCACCAGCCTCTCAGGAATACTTACAGCAGAGTGAGCACAGGGGACCGTGCCTTCTGTGCCAGGCAGCCCGGAGGCAGTGAGAAGAAGAGAAGGTGGTTGGTTTCTTAACAAGGACATGGTTAAGGCCACTTTTCATCTGGATTCAGGCTAGTGTGGAACCCAGGAGGGGCTGTCTCCCTCAGTTTCCTCACTTTCTGCCCCCGAGGCTGATTTGGAAGCCACCAGTTTTGGAAGTGCAGGCCTCTCTCTATAACCTACACCCATGGTATCAGAGCAAGAACTACAGAACCAGAGGTCATCCAAAAGCTGTTCCTATGACCCTGTAGCCCTTTTACTGTCCTAGCAGCAAATGTTTCTCTCCGCCTTTCTGGGGTTGCATTTCAAACTGAGAAAACCACAAGGAAGACCTAAGCAGGGCCCCGTCTCCCGCCCTCACAGTGGAGAGCAGACCCTTCGCATTCAGAGACCTGAGAGGCCCTCCCCTCCTTTGCCTGGAATCAGAAGGGTACCCTCACATGGACCTCACTGTCTGGACATCAGCCCCATACGCAGAGGAACAAAGAAGGTCACCTGAGATGCAGCCAGAGCAAGTGATGGAGCGGAGTGGATGTCACCTGTCACTGTGCTTGACGGCAAGCTGCAGCCCACAAAGAGAGCAGCCTGGTTGGCTTGCTTGCAAACACATCACGTTCATCGGCATTACTCCAGTTCTTCTCACTACCTCTGGGTGGGGGTGGGCACCTTCTGTGGGCCTGGGCTGGGGGCCACCACTGCTGTGCACCAGAGGGGCAAAGACAGAAGCCCAGGAAGGAAGGAAGGAAGGAAGGAAGGAAGGAAGGAAGGAAGGAAGAAAGGAAGGAAGGAAGGAAGGACAGACAGACGGATGGATGGAAGGACAGATGGACAGAAGGAAGGGAAGAAGGAAGGAAGGAAGGAAGGAAGGAAGGAAGGAAGGAAGGAAGTCTGTTTGTTGGACTCTGAGATGGTGCTTGGCAGTGACATTCCATGGTTCTCTGAGAGTGCTCCTGTAAATCTAACTCCATTCATACTAGGGCCTCCTCCCAGAGAGCACTGAGTGGGCATCAGGAACACACTGGCATACTTGCCAAGCATATCAAATACCCAAGGATTGGCAGAGAAGGTCCTGACATGACCACTCATGCCATTTAGGGCTCACAGACTGACTGTGCACCTGACCCTGTGTGAGATGGAGAGCTGGCTCACCGTGTCCCTGAAGCAACTGGGCAATTGTCATTGCCCTATGTGATATTTAAGTGCCTTCCATGGTGAGAAGACGAAAGGTTTATGTCAGTGTGGCCCAGCTGCTATAACACTGAAGTCTTTGTGGAAGTCATCATTACCTATGGACAGTGATCTTTCTGAAGCCACCAGGCTCATTTCCACAGGTCTTACTTAGGAGGAGGCTCCACACAACCTCATGGGCCAGTTTCGGCATGGGTAACGGTCCTGCTTGGAACATGATCCTCTGCAACTAACCTTGGGCTCACTCACTGCAATTTAACCAGATTCTGAAGGCATGGTCTTCAGCCAACCTCACAGACAATGAACACCAATATTCAGGTTCTGAGAGATTGGTTGTCCCCACAGCCTTTATTCTATTATATTGCTATTAATATATTATAATTTTGCTATGGGTGTAAGTTGGTCATGAATTTGTGTTGTCATGTGACTATCAGAAAGCAGGCAGAATCTGTACCTTCTCGACAAATGGAGTACCCATGCTTCAACCTTCAGAGGCTTATAGCCAAAGCACTAGAAGCCATGACACTCTCAAGCCATCTCCTTGGTGCTGAGTAGGCCCCAGGTATTGCTTGTTAGTATGTGGATCCTTGGATTGCCTTCCATATAGGTCAATGTCTAAAACCCAAGAGAATGGACTCTAAGGAGGCCCAGTCACTGCCCTCGAGTTCACATCCAGAAGTGGGGTTGATCACAGACAACTACATCCATAAACACCGTAGTCGTGGTTCATCGTTTACCATTATCTAGCAAGTCTTGCCTCTCAAATGCCAGAGGGTTATAAGGATCTCACTTGCTTTTCAGTTAGAGAGCCAAGTGTCACACACTTGGAATTGTACCATGCTCGAGACTACTGGTAAAATTCAGAAAGACCCTACACAAAGCCCGAGTCCATGTCTGTGCTTACAAAAGGGATCCAGAAAGTCCACCTTTCAGTCACATGGAAGTAGCCCTCAAACCCTATGTGGTGGGTCACCTGTACCTTAGAGCCAAATCCAGCCAAATTGACCATAAGCATTGATGGTTACCAAGGCGCCTTTACACCGAAGAAGGCCACGGTAACAGGTCTTTGGTCCTTTTTGTTTCTCCATGGAGCCTAGAAGCCATGTAAATCTGAATCAATGCCAGAGTCCCCTTCGGGCACCACCACAGCTATAACTATTCCTTTCCCTGTTACCCCATTTCCCTTGCACCATCCAGCCTCACAAGAGAGGAAATGAAGGGCCTGCAGAGATCCACCCCCTCTTTTGACTCTTGGAAGACAAGAGGGGCATCTCTATCAAGTGTCCTTTGATCCAAAGCCTTCTAGTAGGATCCTCACCACAGTTCATGAGAAGACCATGCTGGTCTTGGGGTTCTATTTGAAAATGAAGAATCTTAGCCAGGCATGGTGGCACACACCTTTAATCCCAGCACTTGGGAGGCAGGTGGATTTCTGTGAGTTCCAGACCAGCCTGCTTTACATGGTGAGTTCCAAGGCAGCCAGCAGCCAGGTCTACGTAGTGAGACCCTGTCTTGAAAGAAGGAGAGGGAGACAGAGAGGCAAAGGGAGAGAGGGAGAGGGAAGAAGGGAGAGAGAGTGAGAGTGAGAGAGAGAGAGAGAGAGAGAGAGAGAGAACTCTCAGGACTGTCCAGCTCCTTCTGGCTATCCCAAGCCCCTCTCTCCTGAGTCATTCTGAAATTAGGGAAAGCCTTAGGTAGTGAAAAGGCCCCCTCTTTCCCCACCACAGCCCATGGACTTGTGAGAGGGAAGTGGAGGGATCTCTTTAGGGCCATGTAGGTTGGGTGGTAGAGGTTGGGAGACCCTGCCATCTACTCAAATATTCCAAGAACGTTATAACTATTCACGAGACAAGACCCAGTGAGCCCTGTGGGCACCACAAGGTAAAGAACAGACATGAAGGAGGGACAAGGAGGAGAGACCTCTGAGAAGCAGAGCTGGGAGAATGAGGCACACGGATAGACCTTTTGGGGAACCCCCATCTGGTAACTGATTGTCACATTCTTGCTTAGGAAACAAAGCCATGTTGTATTTCTTCAACACTTTCAAAGACCGAGAGATGTGGCAAAGCTGGGCCCTGAATTAGTGTCAGCTTGTTATTAAAAATATTGTGTTGCAGCTTCCCAGAGAGACTGACAGCGGTGTGAGAGAGAGAGAGAGAGAGTGAGGTCTCTGTGTGTGAGAGAAACTGGGGTGGGGAATCTATGTAAATTCAGGAGAAAAAAAAAATCTCATCTTTCCCAGCCATGGGAACTGAACATTGGAGGAAAAATGTTCACCCCCTGCCAAGAGGTCCAGATTCATTAACCTTTCAACAGTGATTAAATATGTAAACAGGTTCTGGGCAAGCCCTTGGCAAATCATTAATGAGAGAAAGCCTTTCTCTCGGGACAGGCCCTGCCCATTTATCAGTCTCCACACCCATTCCCAGCCCTGTACTGTGGCCATAGGACTCGGGGCTCTCTACCTTGCTAAAGTCCCTGCTCCCTAGGCACCTGCTACACTTGGATAACAGGAATAAAATGTGCACAGATCACTACAGTTTGCCAAGCCATGCATTCGTGTAACAAACTCCTCAACTCAGAGTAGACTTGGCGAGGCTTCATCGAGCCTCACTGGTCTCAGTCACATGACACAACACACATTTATCTCTTGTTTGCAAAAGCCTATGGCTTGTCTGGGTGACTCCCTAGGGCAGTGGCTTCTGAGGGTGGCTCAGTAGGCCAACTATTTGGACTTGAGACACCTCCGTGTCATCATCCACAATTAAGGAGGCAGAGAAGAAAGCTAAGAAGTTCTCGCCTTGGTTAGCAATTGGCCAAAAGGTGTATGGAGTCTCTCTGTTCCCAGGTTCTTGGCCAGAGCTATTCTCATGGCACTATCTAACTGCTGTGCTGGTAGGAAAATAAAAATCCTCCATGTTCAGAGAGGAGCAGGGCAGATTTGGACAAGTGCTAGAATCTTCCACCGTGGGGAGTGATTGTAGATGAACCAAGGTGCTCACTGAGACCACCCAACTAGCCTTGTCAGGCTATCGGGAGAGAAAAGAGCGCAGCCAGGAAAGGTTTCCCAGGAGAGGAGGCGCCCACAGTGGGTTCCCAGAGATGAAAAGATGACATCCGGTCAAGGCTAAGGCTGAC